GTGACGAAACGCGACCAATTTGCGATCGTATGGCTCCCGACAGGTGTAATATACCCATGAACAAGCTGACGATATTCAGGTTGCCGGAAAGGGACACGCGAATGTCTGTACCCAGATCCACCACCCACTAAAGGTTCCCCAGCACCGAGCACCACGTCGAAAGACTCGGGCAGCGTCAAGCAACAGGCAAGCCCAACCTCATCGCACGAAGCAGAAGATGTGGAGGACGATGTCAGCCGGAGCACCAAGCTCGAAACAATTCCGGATGAGGATGAAGACGTCAACCAGATTCCGAACTTTTCTGAACGACCGACATGGTCGCGCGCGACATCGACAGGGACCTCCATCAACCAAATTTCGCGAGCTATACGGCAAACCTCGGAATCACCGTCTGCGGACGGTAATGTGAGCTCCCCATCGAACTCGACCAGAACCAGCAGCACACATACAGCAACAACACCATTGGCTGTGGATAACCCAACCCTTTCGACCACCTCGTTTCCCGACTGGACTCACCTATCCCCAGGTGTACAACGATATATGAATTACTTCTACAAGCATATGGATCACCACAACTATTGTATTGTGCACGATGGCGACAACTTCTTCCACGGCATCCTACCAAACTTTGCCTTGCAAAATGAAGCGCTCTTGAATGCCATTGTCGGATTCTCGGCATATCTTTACTCGCTGGAGCACAATCCCAACGGCAAGATGTGGGAGTTTCTCCAGTACTATAACAGGGGCGTGACGCTGTTGCTGGCTTCTCTCAAGAGGAAGGAGAAGCCAGATATTGGAACGCTCCTTACGATCTTGCAGCTAGCCACTATTGAAGTAAGAAAGCTATTCTCTCAGCTGGAGATGGCCAGTAGCTAACAGATCGAAGGAGTACCTTGGTGACTGGATCAACCTAATGGGGCATCAGAGGGCAGCTTGCGACATCATCACTAGACTTTTCACCCCGCAGACAGCCGTGCAAACCCCCTTGGGTCGAATGGTTCTCACGTGGTATTCTCGGTTCGATACCTTTGTAGCTATGATGGGTGGCTTTCCGACTGCGCTTGGGCAAGAGTGGTTCACACACCACATCGACTACGCACGACATCAGCAATTGTCTTCCGACGAGGAACATCGCTCTTTCCATTGGAAAGCAGAGACACAGTACGCAGGTTTACGCTTGCTCTCCAGAGAGATGTCTATGCTATATGCCCGAATCACCAGGGGGCAGATGACGTCGGAGGAGTTCGAGACGGCTCATGCGCAGACGTTGCAGCGGCTTCGGGACTGGAAGGTCCAGCAGGACGCTGAACTTGAGGACCCGACAAGTCTTGTTACAGACTTTACTTGGGCGCCAGTTCCCGATGAAGCTGATATTGTCAGCCCCTTCTCGCCGGGAATGCTCTACGATCACCCAAAACTGTCAACGACGTTTTTGACCGTCATCTGGCTGTCCATGATCATCATGCACCAATGCCAGTCGCCCACTTCGGACCGCGATCGGTTGTACAGCGAGCTAGCAGGCCACGCATATCACGTATGCACGATCTTCGAGCTGATCCATCATTGGCCTAACAGCCCAAAAGGTGGTCTCCTACCGCTGGAAGCACCCCTCGCCATCAGTGCGTTGTTCGTCCCGCAGGATGCGAAGCACCACATGTGGTTTAGGCGCAGGTTCGCTTTGATGGAGACAAAGGGGTGAGACTCGATCGACTGCTGCCTTCTCCAATCCAGAATCTGCTGCTAATAATTACCGTCTTACAGATATATCCATCCTGTCAAGGTGCGCAGCAAGATGGGTGTACTATTCGGTGCACCTGAATGTGAGCGTTGGTGGCTACCCAACGATGAGGGGTTCAGCCCTCTGCTCCAGGCAATTCGCAACCTGGCCGACGAACGTAACGCCACCGCCATCAATGCGCAAGAGGAGAATCTGCGCGAGGTTCGGCATATCTTCACCAAAATGCAGTTGGCCGAAGGTCAACAGGCGAACTAAGAAGACGTAAGACAGATGCCCATGTCATTTTCTTCTTGAAAAGAATGTCTACAAATTTCCAGGCTGTGCTTGGAGAGGCGCCATAACGATAACGATGCATAGACACGCATGCCTGCGTGCGGTGGTGTTCAAATGAGTAGAGAAATGCTGCGTCAACTGCATTATCTACAACTGGCTGGATATTATTTGCACGAGAACCCTGTCAGCTCGACTTTGGGGGAGATACGAGAGGCTAGAAACATCTTGTGCGAGTTCTAGGGTTGCAATTGCATAGAGCATCTCAGCATGATTCGTGCAGAAGACGAGGCTATGAAATGAGCTAGGCTAATAGTGATAGCGGACGGGGAAATGACCCATGAATGAGGATATCATGTTACTGATTGCGACCCAACTCTGATGCGGGTGGATTTCTGTCGTTGCATTACTATCATCTACAGACAAACATACATAGAAGTGCATCCCAGGGCAAAGAGTCACGGCTCGAACCCGCTGATACATTAAGGTAGACTGGCTCACTCACGCCTCCTTTGTAGACTCTTCTTGGGTGTCCTTCTGAGTCTTTGCCTCTTCCGTGCTCCCCTCGTCGACGCTGCCCACCTGCGCCTCCGCTTTCTCGGCCTCCTCTACCGCAGCTGCCCCCTCGTCCTTGACCTTCTCCGGCTCTGCATCTTGGGTATCTTCCGGCGCCTCGGCTGTCGAAGCGGACTCCTCCACGGCCTCCTTAGTGAACTTGTGCGTGCTGGACCCTGTCTCCTCCTTCATCTTCTCCTCCACAGCCGCGGGGTCCTCAACCTTGTCCTGCGCCTCCTGCAGCTCACCCGCCGGTTCCTCGTCCGCGCTCTCGGCCCTGTCTTCGGCTGTCGTTGTTGTTGTGGTTTCCAGGGCAGATTTCTCCGCGTCTACGGACTCAAGCGCCGCCTTGTCCTCCTCCGTTATGGGCGCGGTTTCAGACAGCAGCGCCTCGGGCTCGACGGGAGCAGCGCCAGCAGCCTCGGTCTCTGGGTGCGCCGCGTCCTCCTGCTGCGGCTCTGATGTGGGCGGAGCATCCTCCTCGGGTTCGGCTCCGAGGTGCTCGACGATGGTGCTGTCGTTCTCCGGCGGCGAGGCGGGGGGCGAGGCGTCGTCCATGACCTCCTGGGCGACGATAACAGGGACGTCGGCCGTCTCGGCCTCCTCGGCAATATCAGGGGCTGCAGAGATGCGCATCTCACGCAGGCGGCTCGTGACGTCGTGGTCCTCCTCGTCCGTTTCGAGGACGGTGGTGACGGCGCTGCCTGTGGAGGGGCTGGCGCGGATGTGGCGGCGCGTGTTGGTGCGGCCGATGGACTGGTAGTTTTCGTCGGCGGCGGCGCCAATGTCGTCGTGACCGCCGCGGGATGGGGGCTTGGCGATGGAGATGGCGGCGGGTTGCTGATGGTGGTTGTTGCTGTTGGTGTTGTTGTGGGGGTGGTACTGCTTGCCGCTGGCGCTGCCTTGGTCGTCGTCGTCGTTGCTCGGGTCGGAGGCGGCTGCATTCGTCTCGAGGCCCTCGGCCTCCGGAGGCAGCTTGTAGTTCTCGGCGGGCAGGAGGTCGTACATGTCGCAGACGGTCTTGAAGAAGACGTAGAGGCCGGTCTGGCCCTCAATGTTCCAAAAGACGGCGCGGTGCTGGAACCAGGCGTGGGCGAAGATGCGATGGAGGCGGCGGAAGACGTTGACAAGATTCTTGACGGCGACGCTCTTGTTATGGGCGTCAGAGGAGACGACAAAGCGCGAGGGGAAGATCTTGGGGTCTGTGACGACGTTGGCAGCCCAGTCGAGGGTGTGGCAGCAGTAGTCGATGGCGCAGCAGCTCTTGGGCTGCTCGTGGACGGCGCAAAGAAACTGCCACTCGGAGGCGCGCATCTCGGGGCAGGTCGAGGCGCTGCAGGGGGGTGCGTCGAAGAGGAAGCCTACAATGAGGGTGTTGCATTGGGAGATGAGGAAGCGACACAGCTCGTAAAGCCACAGCGTGCGGTCGATCGAGGGCGGTGGCGTGGCGAGCTGGATGGCGGTCTGACGGGTTATGCCATGGGCGCCGCCATTGGTGTGGAAGTGGTGGAGAGCGGCGAGGTGTTCCTGGAGCTGAAAGGCCGAGTCGAGCTGTGTGGAACAATATGTTAGAGCTTGAGGGATGGGGGACAGAGATCGCGCAACCGGTTTGGGGGGTGGGGGCAGCTGCTGATAGACAGAAGGCTTTGCGATGGAACGAACCTCATTGAGGGGAACCAGAGGAGGGCCTGTTGCCATGTCCTGGGCTTTCGTGCCGGGATGAATTCGACGTTTCGCATTTGCCTCCATAATACTCTTCTCAAGCTGCGCGGCCAGGCGATTCGCTTGCGCGCCCATGGATGGCGACGGAGGGCCGATCTGATCTTCGGCGGCTGGAGGAGGGCTCGGAAGCCGGGGGGAGGGCGGCGCCGCCAAGGCCATTGCGACGGTGAATGTGTTGCAGGCTACGCCAGATTGTTTTCCGTGTACTTTCTTTTGGACGATGGAAGCTATGTACAGCGATGTGGGTAGGTATCGTAGGCACAGGGACAAAAAGTTGTCGTGATGTTGGTGGGTGGTTGGTGGAGGAGGCGCCAATCCAAAGGATGCTGCAGCAACCAGCTACCGCCAGCAAGCAAGAGGCAAGTGCAAGTGCACACGGACACAGGCAGGGGCAGGGATCTGTCGCAACGACCGCCTTAGTCAGCAGGGCCACAGCCTCCGCCATGTTGGCACCCACCTACGGCGTCATACGCCCTGTAGCTGTAGAACAGGCCTGAGTTAAGCCGCAGACAGGCGACTGACTGGATCCAGGTTGAATGACAGGAATCCAACACCGACCACTGCTTTCTCGTAAAAAAGCGAGACCCTATTATTTCTTCCCTCATTAATAAAGTCACACGTCACGCCGCTATCACTGTCTGCCCCCTGCCTACACCCTGAAGCCTGCAGCTGCAACAATCCGTCCTCGTATCTTTCTTTGCACTACCCCGCCATTATGAACTTTGACGATGATGCCCCGCCAGATCTGGTCGAGACTCAGAGTCAGACCCCGTCTCAGGCGGAGCCGTCACTGAGCACAGGACCGCAGGACGATCTCGAAGAGAAACGAATCAAAGTCCCAATCACCATTGTCACTGGTTATTTGGGTGCTGGAAAAACCACTCTGTTGAATTACATCTTGACCGCGCAGCATGGCAAGAAGATTGCCGTCATCATGAATGGTTTGTTGCGCGCTGCTGGTCAAAGTTGGTTGGACCTTTGCTAACGATCCCAACAGAATTCGGCGACTGTAAGAAGTCGAAGCAGCGAGTGTAGCCATGTCACTTTCTGACCAATTGTAGCCATTGACATTGAAAAGTCACTTACCGTCAACAAAGGGGACGAAAAGGTTGAAGAATGGCTCGAGGTCGGCAACGGATGTTTGTGCTGTTCCGTCAAGTAAGGATCCGAGCCCCTCATGCGTGCTCACTTTACAATGCTGACGGCTTCAGAGACACCGGCGTCAACGCGATCGAGTCGCTGATGGAGAAGAAGGGTGCCTTCGACTACATCCTCCTTGAGACCACCGGCCTGGCCGACCCTGGCAACCTGGCGCCGCTCTTCTGGGTCGATGACGGCCTCGGCAGCACCATCTACCTCGACGGCATCGTCACCGTTATCGACGCAAAGAACATTCTCCGCAGTCTCGACGATCCGTCTGGCAAGATCGAAGTCGAGGAAGACCACGATCACGACCACAGCAGCAGCCCGCTCATGACAACGGCGCATATGCAAATCTCCCACGCCGACGTCATCGTCATCAACAAGGCAGATCTCGTCACCCCAGATGAGCTGCAACAGGTCAGGGACAGGATCGAGTCCATCAATGGTCTCGCCAAGATTCACGTAACGCAGAAGAGCGAGGTTCCGCAGCTCGAGGGCGTCCTGCTGGACCTGCACGCCTACGACGAGCTTGCCGAGCTTGACTTCAGCCGCAAAGGCCACAGCCATCTAGACCCCGTACGTTTTTCTCCTTGCTGTGTGATGTATGCGCAACGCTCACGTTTTCTAGGCCATCTCCACCGTCTCCATACCGGTTCCGGTTTTGTCGCCCAGCCAAGAGGCAAAAGTGGATAAATGGCTGCGAAGTGTGCTCTGGGATCACGAACTGCCAGGGGAGGGGAGGACCATTGAGACGCACCGCTCAAAAGGGCGGTTGGTATTCGACGACGGCAAAGTCAAGATGATACAGGGCGTCCGGGAAATCTTTGAGATTTTGGAGGCGCCTGAGCAGTCATCGATAGATGGGCCAAAGCAAGGCAAGATTATTCTCATCGGGCGCCACCTGCAAGGCATCGATTTTGAGAAGAGCCTCAAATATGTTTTACAATCATAGATTTACTTCGACTGGAAACAAATGAAAACAAAGTCAACCATGGAAATCAAGCGGTTGCTTGTAGTGTTTGTCGGGAATGGAGGGAAAGTCAACAGCATTTTCCCCCTCGTATAAGCTGAGTCGTGACAGCCAACGGCGCTCACGCATCTTGCCCAGGCACACGTCTTGAAGGATACCATTTCTTATTTCGTATTTGTTCTGCGAGGCAAGCGATAAGCGAGAAGGGAGAAAACGTGCTAATAGCGATGATTGATGGCTGAGCCTCACCTAGATCCCTAGTACCTAGATGCTGTGCTCCTCACCGAACACCGAGGCAGCCGCATCCAGACCGAGGGGCGTCGGTGCACAGGCCATCACATCGGATCCATCTTTGACCGTATCTCCGTGTTTAGCGTTTGCCCAGTTGCAGGCTGTGGAGTGCATGTCAGGCGGCCAGGGGGGGGGGGGGGGGGGGTTGATGTGGACAACGCCAACCTCGAACCGCCTAAGCAGAGAAACCTCCAGCGATCATAGCTTCGTCTGAAGGCAAAAACCGTGCGAACCCTCGACAACCACGCCACCCGATACACAAAACCTCTTTCCCGCGAACTCGAACCTCGACGCAACGACGCGACACAACCTTGCGACACCAGTCCTCGATAGCTCCCATCATGAACAGACCAGGTAAGGCTTGCATACTTTGCCGTCGTCCGCCCTTGAGCCTCCCGCAACGCAGCCACCGTACGCCGCCGATTGCCCGTCCCTAGACGCTGCCGACATGGGCATCTTGCGACTCAGCGCGACCTTCTCTTTCATGGTCCCGTCCATTGAGTCGTCTTTATCGGTTGTGCGACGGCGCCTCGACCCTGGGTTGCTTGCTTCGCTAGAGCATGACCTTGTGACGCCTCGCACCACCTCCGTGCCGAACCGGACGTCTGTTCCCTACCGCCCTGGCCGCAAGATGACCTCCGACCTCTAGCGACCGTGCCTTTTCCTGGGTCATGCGATCAGAACAGAAATCATCTCGCTGTCATATCCCCCGCCGGCCTGTTCATCCCTCTGAACGCCTGTGTCGATCGGAACCTCGATCTCCTCGTTTACCTCCGCGCGATGTCATTCAGCACGTCTTCTATACTTTGCGCTGACGATGATCGTATAGTAGGCGCAGTACCACAATCGATTCGAGGGATGCCTGGCTTCGGTGGCCAGCAACCACAGCAGCAGCAGCAGCAGCAGCCGCAACAACAGGGCCGTTCTGTGTCGAACCGATTACCGAATGGGAAGCTGGGTAAGGATGCCTCGATAGATGAAATACGGGACGAGACCGTTTTGCAGCGTGTGTTAACGCACTGTCCATGTCAGCAGGCAGCAATGGGTCTGGTTGGGCCTTTGGCAACGGCATGCCCATGGGAGGAGCGACTCCTCAAAACCCATCACGGCAACTGGGTGGCAACGTTAGCTTCGCGCAGAGCTTAGGCGGGTCGTCGCAACCGTCAACACCACTGGATCCTTCGTAGGTGCTGCTTTCCTTCGTCTTTTCTTTGCGCTTTAGAGCCCCTGCCACCCCCACCGCCGGAAGGTGCATGCCGCACACACTGCACCAGCTCTAGGTTCCGCCCGCACTCCCATTATCACGCCCGCCATGGTCTCCGCGCGTAAACGCAGGCTTACCAGGAAGCGCAAAAAGCCGGGAGCAGTCGTTAAGATCATGACGGCGCCGTCACCTACTCCATCGTCTGCGAGACCCAGAAAGGGCTATGCGGAAGCTTTGAAAGGAGACCGCCCGGTCGAAAGTTCGAAGGGGTACCTACTAATTGTCCCTCCCGTTATGTTTTCCCTTTGACTTGTGCTATGAGAGGGATACTTCAACGACCTTTCGCTGTCTTATTGATCTTTCTTCGCTAACCTGAGACTAGCGAATTCCCCTCCCTCTCGAACAACCCTCAACTCGGAAACGCCAACCAATCCTCTATGTGGGCAACGGCGGGCTCGCGGGCTGTGAGTGGGCAGGTGCCTCGAAACACGTCTACACCACTGTCTTCGCAGGGGCCTCAGGAAGACCTGTACAACTCGACATCTTCATCTAGAGGAAATGGTGGGTTCCGCTTCGGCGCCCAAGGAACAGTGGGCCAGCCTGCGCAAAACTCTGCGACGCCCGCGGATGACTTTCCACCACTGAATCGCAACGCAAACGGCGAGATTGGCGGGGAGCGGGGGGGCGGTCTCATGTCGTCTCTGGGTTTCGGGGCTCAAGCCCCCGGTGCCGCACCTTCCATACCAAGCAGCCGGGCTGCCGGCAACGGTCTGTTGAACGCCCTCTCGGCGAACAACAGAAGCTCAGACGCCCAGTCGCCGCCGCAGGCCAACGCTACCACTGCTGGATCGGCAGATGAAGAAAGGAAAGCTAGCCTGGGTGTGGGCATGTCCGCAGCAACGGACTCGCCGTCTCAAGATGCGAGCAACTCGCACAGCTTGGCAGGCCTCGACGCGGCAGCGCATAACAGCAAGGTCAGAGAGACGGAGGACGGAGAGGCTTCCGACGCGCAGGACCCGTTAGCTGGCATGGCCCCTATCGACAAGTTTGGAATCAAGGGCCTGCGAACCATGATGAACAACAACCCAAGCTACGCTGCGTTGATGCATGGCATGGATCCCAATGACCTAGGGCTCAACGTGAACTCGCCCGAGTAAGCAACAACGTTCTGATGTTCATTGTTGAGTTCCGCTGACGCGTGACAGGCTCATCTCCACGCAACAATACTCGCTGTTCGACGACACACCGCCACGGCCCGTGGTGCCCAGTCACCGGCTGCCCGAGTGCTATCAGGTCACGAACGTGCAGCCGATAGAGACCAAGATTCAGAGTTTCAACGAAGAGACGCTGTTCTGGATCTTCTATAGCTGCCCCCAGGATGTGAAGCAGCAGCTCGCCGCATTTGAACTGTGCGTAAAACCCCTCTCTACCTAACAAAGCGTTGCTGACCTGGGGTAGGCACTCTCGCAACTGGAGGTGGCACAAGAAGCTGCACATCTGGCTGACAAAGGACGAAACCATGACGCCTCAAACGATCAGTCCTACCCATGAGCAAGGCTACTACGTCATCTGGGATATCCGCAACTGGCGGAAAGAGCGGGTGCGTCTTCAAACCTTTTGACTCGATAAAGCCGACCAGAATGAGACTGACACATGGTACAGAGAGAGTTGACCTTGCATTACGAGGATCTGGAGACCTCGTTGGGAAGGCCACCTGCGGCGTAAATGGCGTTCAGGACATTGCTATACCCTCGGACAAGCAGATGCAGACTCGGAGAAGTCACATGTGGCCTGGGTTGACATTTTTTTCGGTTCTCGACGGCATGGGAGCTGTACTCGTATCCTCAGGGACTTGGGCGCTGCTTGCTTCAGGGGCGAAGCTGGTATGGCAGAGGGGGGGGGGCAAAGGATCGCCTGGTTGGTTTTGCAAGTCGTATTGCTACTGTCGGTAATTGAATGCATCATTACCATGCTGGCCATTGGCTGGTGACGGAATCGCATTCTCATTTGATCCCACGACTGCCGTAGACATTCACAAGTGGTGATATTTCTGGTCGTGTGAGCCATGTATGATGCCAAGACGCGTGATTGGGGAGGGGGGGGCCGATGAGGGGACTGGAAGATTCCGACTCAGGTTCCGCAACTGGCGGCGGGCTTACCCCAACTTGGGTGAAGTGACCATCTCCACAATCAACCCTGCTACCTGTGTGCTACCTTACTCTCTTTAATTCATCAACAGAGCGAGTGGCTTTTCGCGCATCGCTCATCGGCTGTTCGACTTTTTGAATACAACGAGTCGATTTGCATCGCGGCGCAGAAGCACAGTACGCCGGCTGCAATCAGAACCCGACAGCGAGCACGAGGCAACACCCAGCGTGGTGGTGACGTGGTCTCTCTCTCTCTCTCTCTCTCTCTCTCTCCCT